TACATTACATTTTAGTATCCTTTGCTCTACAATCAGGATGGATTACCACTGTTAATTTACAATAAAAACTTTGACATTTTTTTTGAGGTTCAGACATTTTCGCAAGTCAGACTGGTCTCACTGCCTACCCAGGGTAAGTCAGAATGAGCAATATTGGGACCGCATATTCAGAGATGCACAAAGAGTGCTGAAAAGCTCACAAGACTCTTTTGTTGCTCATCCTCATTATTTTGATGCTGAAGGGTTTACTGGTGACTTCTATGTGATAGCTCAAATTAGAGATACCAGCAGTCGCATTAACCAGCTTCACATTTTCATGGGGGACTTCATAGCGCATGTTATTCAAATCCGTGATCTGTCAAAAGGAAAACACAAGGGACAACCGCACATAAGATCACCTCCTTGTAGAGCTATAAAAGATGCTCCCTCTAAAATAGCCCTCCCTGAGAATAGCTTCTAATTCCTGACCCTGTGGTTTCCAATGTGTAAGAAGAAATGATGCAATCACTTGTGCCCCATCAAATAAAAATGTGATTCCCGTGGAGAGGAAGAGAGGTACCTTCTGCCTCTGCAACTCAAACCTAGTATGGGGACACAGCTTTCTTCAGAGACGTATTTAGTGGTGACTCCCAAACCAACCTTAAAATGCAACCGATTGGATGTCTGAAATTCAGCTGTGAAGAGGGTGTTGGTGACATCATTTCCAAACAGAGATGGAGATGGCAATTTTTTCAACTGGGCGGTAAGCCCTGGGGGTGGGGGGAAGAGAGGGAGAGAAAGAGACTGACTTTAGCTTTTATTTTTCAGTGACCTTATGTGGGCCATAAGGAGTCATTCCCTGGGGCAATATCAATATCGGGGCAGTGCTCACCTGTGCTTGTATCTGTCGGGCCATTGCTGACTTCATAGCCCCAGTTGCTGGGGAAGAAGCACTGAGGGATGTCAGCATCTGCCTCAGGCTTCCAGCAGCACTTATACTGCCATCTGCAGACATCCTATAACAATGGCACAGAGTTAGCACTGTAAGATGAAGGAAGGACAGGATTATTTGTCCATTTATTTGTTCCCATTTTGTTCCCATTTTATTCCAAGGAGAATTGAAGATAGGCCATTATTACATTCATTAATTTATTCATTCCATATTTATACTTTTATCCAGCCATCCAATATGCATTTATTATATACCAGACAAGGAACTGAAAATACAGAGAAATAAAACATAGCTTGTGCTTTCAGCAAACTTCCGGTCTAATGGTAAACCCAGATAGCTAAGAAAGCAATTACATACAGGATAATGAGACAAGTGCTCCAATAGAATGTGCCCAGCAGCTGAAGGAACACACACAGCCACTGTACCCAGCCTAAGAGGCTGGGAGTGAGGTGGGAGGACTTCCAGGTAGTGGAAAGGTAAGGCCAGTCCTAAAGCACCAGGAGAGGTTAGACAGGTGAACAGTAGAGCAGTATTCCAGGCATACAAGGCAGAAATGCATGACAGATTCACATAAACCACAAATTTATTGTTCCTAAAGCACTGAGTAAGAGAAATGAGGCTGGAAGCACATAGTAGGTATTCATACCATGAGTGGGCTGGATGCCAATCCAAGCAATTTGGACTT